GGGGACCCCGCTAGCGGTGCCTCGCTGCTTGGTCCCGCAAAGGACTATGTCATACCCTGCAAGCGTACCCCGAGGGCAGCACCTGCTGCAAACACCTTTCCCGGATGGAAATTTCTTCCCTTTGATACCTAGTGGTCACTTGGAAATCCTGCCATGTACTTGCTAACATACTGTTTTTAGTACATGCAGCAGCTTCTCAGGCGTGGTGTGATCTTCGGTATGTGTGCGGACTTATGATCGTAGCACAATGCTAAACACCAACAAAACTTAATATTTCTGATGTCTGTAAATCTGTCATTCATTTGGTGTAAGTGGTTTGTTCTGCTTTTTCAGGTCTGCAGAAGGTAGCTATTGAAGTCATATGTGAAAATGTTGGGAAAGACTGGAAAAGGCTGATGCGAAGTCTTGGCTTTCCTGAAGTGAAAATGGACAGAGTTGTGGCAGCCTATCCATTTAACTTGCTTGAACAATTGATTCAGTCACTTCGAGAATGGCAGAAATGGAAGGGAAAAGATGCAAAGGTGGCTGACTTAATAAAAGCTCTTCGGGATTGTGGGCTGAATCTGGTGGCGGACAGAGTCGAACAAAAACTCTTGCAAATGAGCACTGAAACCAAGTGAAATCAGTATAAAAATGCTTTCATGTCACACCGATATGAATGGAAAACGTAGAAGTGCCTTCTCTTCTTCTGAACAACAATCAACATCATTGGTTCTATTAGCTATTCTGCCATTAATTTATAAGCCTTAAAGTTACTAGGTTAATTTGTTGTCAGAAGACTAACATGAAAAAAAAAAAAAAGAAATCAGGTAATGCTTTGTAGTTTGATGCTTTGATTGTAGGCATTTTAAGAGAAATTAACTGTCAGAGTGGCTGGGCTCCATTTTATAGAAATCCTTATGCTTTTGTGCTACCTACCCCCAAACGTAGGATTTCTTTTACTGCTGGCACTTTTGAAATTTGTTCTCTGGAATTACATCCATGGGATCATTTCTGATGATTCCAAATTTCATTGAACTCCTCCTTCTATTTTTTTTTTTTTTTGTGGCATATTCGTAACTGTAGTGTGAAAGGAGGAGGGAGATAGAGCTCGCAACTGTGTACTGGGGTTGTGGGGTTCTTTGTTTGTTCAGAGTAGCATAAGATAACGTCTTCTGTGAGTTGCTGAATGCCTTTGCCCTCCTTAAAAGGACACCAAACAGATTGTGACCCCAGGCCCTGAAGCTGCAGTGCAGGAGGGCTCGTAACTATTGTGGTGGCTGTTTCTCAGCAGAAAGTGTGCCTGTTTTGAGAACAGAACTAGTTGAAATCGACAGTCTCTATCAAGTGCCTTCATCACCCTAAAGGGAACGTTCTGAAACTATCCAAGACATCATATGTATCTCACAGATGTTTACAGCAGCCTCTTTTCACTGCCTTGAATGTTTTAAGATTCCTTCCAGGGAAATCCTCGTGTAACCCATACCAGAGTCTTCCCATGTCTGCTGGAAGCTGCAGCTCACCTCACAAGAAAGCTTCTGTTATCTGTGCTCTTGGTAACAAAGATACAGGCTCTAACAAAAGCCTAGAGCATGGTTTCTTTTCAGGGGTGAGGTGTGAAAGCTTACTGAAAGCAAGTAAGCAGTATGGACTCTTCCATGTAGTGATATTCTGTGAAAGTTATCCCTTTTGCCACACTTAATTCTTTTCAAAGGTGACTCCATATTCAATAGCACTTGCAAGTTCTCTGCAGTTCTTTCATTCCTCTTCCTTTATATCTCAAATGTGGTTATAAGCAGCTCATAGATGAAGGAGGATTTATGAACAAGACCTGAATCGGTTTTTAGCTTTAATTTGGGACAGAGTACAGAATTGGTCTTCACCGCTAAGCTAGGCCTGGGAAAACTGCACATGGTTCAAGACATGCTGGGATGTAGAGGCCTCCCAGGATGGTGACTGTCACCTATGTTAGAGGGAAAAGTCCTCTGAAATCTTAATTGCTTGAATAAGTGGGACTGTTTGCAGTTAGAAGGGTGTTTGCAGCATCATAAACTCATACTTGAAGAGGAGAGGCTTTTTGCCACTGTACCTATGTGGCTTTTAGCTCCTTTCAAGTTCTCTTTACGTGGTGCTGTTACTATGAAGGTGTGGTGTCAGCATGTAATACACTAGTACTCTGTATACACTAGTATTCTGTAGAAATGTTGTGAAACTCATGATTTTCAACTTTTTATTTCAATTAGCGCTTCTAGTTTAGAAGATAACCACAACCAAGTATTCCAGTGTTACTGGAAAATGATGTAATGTGAACTTTTTCTATTAGGGTTTTTCTTCAAAAGCTGAGCAATAAATGATTGGTACAAGTATTTTTAGAAACATAATTTACCAACTATCAATGACTGTAGGTAAGAAGAGTAATGGGCAATACAGAAGCTTCCACTTGTCTGCTTTTTTGGCATGTACAGTTTTCGAAGTACTTCCTCCAAAGTAGAATGTTTCACTTTGTCAATATCGTCACAATCTGGGAGTAAATAAACACAAATTCCAAACTTCCAAATTAAAAAATCTATGCTTCAGCTGAATCGCTAGGTTGAAAGCTTTGGAGGATTTTGTTTGTTTAATGAAAAAGTTCTTTCATTCTGCATTGTTTTAAAGAAAACTTTCATTTCGGACTCTTTCCTTTATGCCTCTAAACAGTATTTATAAGGAGAGTGGAGGAGAGGTGAAGTTAGCGAAATGAGTTTATGGTGAAACAGCTCTGCAACGGTTCTAGGTTCAATGTGCCATGATCTGTCCAGTAACATATGTTGTTCTTGTCCACTTGTCATAAGTCGTCTCGTTCACAGAAGATATATACATCTGAATATCAAAAGTAATATGCCATCTCCTGCATATAGCCAAAATATTTTAGGAATCAGTGGGGATAGTTAGTTGTAGCTAAGTGCTCATCAGTTACAAGAAATGTTCTGCCTCAAAAGATATAAAAGTCCGTTTCTCTTAGAATTTGTACATAGTGGAAGTTCTATTGCATAGGAAAGCAGTAAGCTAGAACGCATCAATGTATTCAGTACCTCAGGACCAATTAAAAACTGTTTTTATTAGAGATTAAAAAGTTGATCATGTGAGAACAAAATCAAATGGGACCAAATGGAACAAAAACCTTTTATTGTGGGAAGAGGTAGGGGCAGAGGGTATAACTCATAAGGAAATGTGATCAATAGCAACCTTACTTTCAAATTGAGTATTTTAGTCTCTGATATGCATATTTTTTAGAATTAAAGATTTATATTGTATAGTTTTGTGCATATAATTACATAACATTTCATTAAAAATTATTTAAAAATAAAATGGAAGTGTTCATTATATTGATGGGATTGCTGTCTATGATGGATTCCCTAATTAGAAGAAAATAAATGCTAAGGGCACTTTTAAAGCAAGGAGTGGTGCTAAACAGGCCTTACATTACCCAGGTACTTCTCAGAATATCCCCCTCAAAAAAGTTCCTCACTTACTTTTTTTATAGGTGCTACAAAGACTATAGTTTTTCTAGCTGGAGTAGCATTTGAATGCTGTCATTTAGGGAAGTGTTAAGAGGAAAAAAGTGCTCTCTCAGCCCCTATGAGTCTAAAATTCAGTCGCTGTGCAAAGCGTGCATGGAGGATAGGCTTCCTATGAGTAAGTGCCTTAAAAATCTTTTCCTTAGTTTTCTCTACTAGCCATGCTGTGGTAAGGGTGCTGTATTTGTTTCACGATTCGTTAAAAATACAGTTCATTCTAAACCTGTTCAGGCTTTTAGAGATATGGACGTATTCCGAAGTTAAATTGATACTGACTTCAGCATTACTGTGAAGTGTATACTAGCAGTAAAATGTTAGTTTGTACTCAGCACTTTGAATATATAAGATAAGTGACTTAATTACGCGTTTTCTCAGACACTCTGTATGAGCTCTGCAAGAGCCAACTAGCCTGTGAGGGGTTACTAAAACCTTTTCTTTTTGGTCTCTTGAGAGTCGTCTTTCCTTATGGCCTTGAGACAAAAACACCAAACATGTTGAGAGCAAAAAGCATTATCTCGGGAGAATACTCATAAGTTTCTTTTTTTCACGTTCCTTTGCAGGGAGATGGTGGGGTACCTCCTTTTGATACGTGCATACCATTTTTTGTGCTACTTAAGGATGTCAGTTAAATATTGCATATTAAATTTAAAAACAGTGCTCTATTATTCTCGTGACTAAGCTAAAAGAAGTTTTGTATTTGTTATGTAGACTTTAAATTAAAGTTCCTATTATACAGACTGGTTGTCAGGAACATTTCAAATACAGTGTTTTGCCTTCCTTTTTCTCCATTCCCCAAACACAGGCAGCTGTATTTTCTCCAGCCTTTGTTTCTGTTCTAAAGTAACTGGCTACTTTATGAAATTTAATGGCTTCATTTAATTGTCTAACACAAAAAGCTTAGTAATGCATGCTGTATCTGTGAGCTTTCTCTGGTACTCAGCGTGTCCTTAATTCAGATTTTTTGCTCGAGTATTTTTCAATTTAAATCGTCCTAATGACTATCTTTTTTTTTTCCTTTTATAATTATCAAAATAATGCTTCTGCTGTTCTTCCTATTCACTGCAGGGATCGCTTCTGTCCTTAAAACGTGCTCCATCATGGAAAAGATTTTTTCCAAGCTACTTTCCCTCTTTGATTTAGTATTCTTTCCTGTGCCAGTGGTTTTTATTGCAACTTTTAAGGATGCACTGGTGAAATTACAGAAATTAGTTTTCTGCTTTAACTGTATACCATAAAAATAAGAATTACTGGGGTGAGATGAGAGGAGGGAAAGGAGTTTCAATAGCTATGCCTGTAAGTAGTAAAAGTTCAAGAACTTTTGAAGAATCTTTGTCTTTGTAGCGATTTTTATAGTTGAGGATTGTTCACTGTTAAGAGAGCATGACTCAATGGGTTCTGGGAATTGTAAGTTTAGAAGAAGGGAATCAGCTTTACTCAGCTGCCAGGAAAGTTCAGATTAACGCAATACGAAAAGACAGATTTCTGTGTGGGAACTTGTGTGGAATAAAGACACAGGCGTCCTAAATGATTAAATAGGCATAAGTTTCATCCACAGAACTATTTCTCCTTACTATTTAATTCTTGAGAAAATTGCCCAATCATTTCCTAAAATAAACTGTTCAAAAATAAAAGTATAGAGGTTTCTTTTTGTAGTATTTTACGTAATTCACATTATTAAAACATATCAGTTGATAATACTGCTTGAGTTTAAATGCAGTAATCCCTGTAATTTGGTAAGTATCGGGGGCTGGTGTTTATGTTCATTGTTTTCCAAATACGCCGTGTGCACAGTTCTACTTGAATTGTAGCTAAAATACCTTTAATTTTCTTTCAGTTTGGAGTTTTAGTTTGTTGAAGAAAGAGGTCATACTGTGTTTTTGGCTGGTCACGGTATTTAAGACAACCTTCAGTCTACAAGGTAACCAGCTATTGTAGCAAAGTTGGGGTTTTGATATGTACTGCCTAGGACTGTGAAGAGATTGGTATATAAAAATAAAAGCTGTAACAAAGTTCTTGAGGATTACATTGCCAATATAACGTGAGTACTCTTGCGAAGGCCAGATGCTTAATGTCAACTGTGTACGTTACGAAGTTATGAAACTGGCATCTCTATTTACTTCATAGTATTGGAGCCTTTTGGGCAGGCAATTGTGCTGTGTGAAATTGCATGAAGATAAAAGTGGGACCATTGACATCGGAAGTGTATAAAATACTCAACTGCGCTTTTTCTGTGGTTGGTTAGAAATTTCCAGGGAAGCCTTCTTTCACGTAACTTTCACGTGAAGCAATAATCTTGCAATTAAAAATGCTCACGGTGTTTATAGTGTTTTCACTTCCACTTTTCTTCCTAATTCCTTTATTCCTGTTGAATGCAGCAGGACTATTCATTTTAAACAATTTGCGGAAATTACTCTGAATACTCACTGTCATCTACTTCCAATAGTTTTAACAGCTACTTTGTTTGTGCGCATGCTACCTGTGGCAAAGTTTTGTCCAAAGTGATGTATGAAAACTGTGCTTCCGTACATGAGTTGGTAAGTGACTTTTGTGTGCAAAAATCTATTGGTAGATTTGTATGGAGTGAGCACACAAGAATAGTTTTGTAGCTTCATTTTCATACAAAACCTTTGTTGTCGTTAGCCTCACGAAGTTCTGAGTATTTTAAAGCTTTTTATTTTATTTTACAGTTGTATTCAAGATTACCTCATGCTATTCTTTTTCAGAATTTGTAGTATTTGTTTAAAAAGCACACAAAT